CTCTCCTTCCCCCTGCAGACAAACGGGATTACATCTGTGAGTACTGCGCCCGCCCCTTCCGCACCAGCAGCAACTTGATCATCCACAGACGCATCCACACGGGGGAGAAACCCATACAGTAAGTAGCAAACCCAGCTGGCTCGCTCTGTGACTTGGGGTCTCTTCCTCTGTGTCCCTAAGAATCGCAGCACTGAGAAGCCAAAGGTGGAAATGGCTGATTAGGTGCCATCGATCCAGTTCTGAAGGATGCAGTCCCTAGCGCTGCCCGGGCCCTCTTCCTAACTACACCCCAGACGAGGCCTCTTCCCCTCACCCCCTTGATGTATACACCCATTAGATACTTGTAGATTAGAGGTCCCCAAAGTGTGGGGCGTGCCCCCCTAGGGAGGCATGGAGAAATGTCCAGGAGGGCACAGCAGGGCCCAGGCCAGCCCCAACTCCTGCCCCCAGCTCTGCTTCGGTCCCGTCTCGAGCCACGTCCCCGGCTCCAGGCCACATGCCTGGCCCCATCCCCAGCCTCAACACAGCGCTGCTCCCCATCCCGCATCAGTCCCCAGCCTCAGCCCCCGGCTGCAGCTCTGTTCCCAGCCCAGGGCCAAGGCTGGGAGCGAGGCCAGGAGCAGAGCTGCACCTGTTTGCGGGCCCAGGTGCTGGTCCCCACCGCAGCTCAGCTGCGGGTCCGCTCCCGCACCTGTCCCCAACCTCGACCCTTGGCCACAGCCCTGCTCCCAGCCCCACCCCCAGCCTCGGCCCCCTTCTGTTGTCCATGCCACTTCCCCCCCTCCCCAAGCCACAGCACCACTCCAACCCAGACTCCGTGGAGGACATAGGGGGGCGGTGCGGACAGAGGTAAGGGGGGGCACAATCCTCAAAAGTTTGGGGGAGTACTGAATTAGCCTGTTGAACTCATTGCCATAGGAAGTTGCTGAGGCCAAAGATTTAGACCGGTGGCATCTTAAAGACTAACAGATTTATTTGGGCATAAGCTTTCGTGGGTAAAAAACCTCACTTCTTCAGAGGCATCTGAAGAAGTGAGGCTTTTTACCCACAAAAGCTTATGCTCAAATAAATCTGTTAGTCTTTAAGATGCCACTGGACTCCTTGTTGTTTTTGTGGATACAGACTAACACGGTTACCCCCTGATACAAAGATTTAGTGAAATTCCAAAAAAGGATTGGACATTTATTCTTGCCACAGTATTCTTGCCAGCAAGTTAAAGAAGTATGGGCTGGATGAATGGACTATAAGGTGGATAGAAAGCTGGCTAGATCGTCGGGCTCAACAGGTAGTGATCAACGGCTCCATGTCTAGTTGGCAGCCGGTTTCAAGCGGAGTGCCCCAAGTGTCGGTCCTGGGGCCGGTTTTGTTCAATATCTTCATTAATGATCTGGAGGATGGCATGGACTGCACTCTCAGCAAGTTTGCAGATGACACTAAACTGAGAGGAGTGGTAGATACGCTGGAGGATAGGGATAGGATACAGAGGGACCTAGACAAATTAGAGGATTGGGCCAAAAGAAACCTGATGAGGTTCAACAAGGACAAGTGCAGAGTCCTGCACTTAGGATGGAAGAATCCCATTCACTGTTACAGACTAGGGACCAAATGGCTAGGCAGCAGTTCTGCAGAAAAGGACCTAGGGGTTACAGTGGACGAGAAGCTGGATATGAGTCAACAGTGTGCCCTCATTGCCAAGAAGGCTAACGGCATTTTGGGCTGTATAAGTAGGGGCATTGCCAGCAGATCGAGGGACGTGATCATTCCCCTCTATTTGACATTGGTGAGGCCTCATCTGGAGTACTGTGTCCAGTTTTGGGCCCCACACTACAAGAAGGATGTGAAAATTGGAAAGAGTCCAGCGGAGGGCAACAAAAATGATTAGGGGGCTGGAGCACATGACTTATGAGGAGAGGCTGAGGGAACTGGGATTGTTTAGTCTGCAGAAGAGAAGAGTGAGGGGGGATTTGATAGCTGCTTTCAACTACCTGAAAGGGGGTTCCAAAGAGGATGGATCTAGACTGTTCTCAGTGGTACCTGATGACAGAACAAGGAGTAATGGTCTCAAGTTGCAGCGGGGGAGATTTAGGTTGGATATTAGGAAAAACTTTTTCACTAGGAGGGTGGTGAAGCACTGGAATGGGTTACCTAGGGAGGTGGTGGAATCTCCTTCCTTAGAGGTTTTTAAGGTCAGGCTTGACAAAGCCCTGGCTGGGATGATTTAGTTGGGAATTGGTCCTGCTTTGAGCAGGGGGTTGGACTAGATGACCTCCTGAGGTCCCTTCCAACCCTGATATTCTATGATTCTATGATTTATGTGGAAACAGGAATATTTAGAATGACCATAACGAACAATAGCAATTTTGGAAGGGAGATTAGGTTTTAAGCCAGTTCTCTAACCATTAGAGCCCAGGACCAGACCTAACGTGTGGGCCAGATTAGCCCACATTAGCCACTGCAAGGTTCTTACACCTTCTCTGAAGCATCTTGTGCTGAGCTCTGTCAGAGACAGGATAATGGGCCAGATGGGCCTTGAGTCTGATCCAACCTGGCAATTCCTGTGTCCCTCTATCCTCTGTGCATCCCTCTCTGAGCTTTCTCTCGCTCTGATTCCCTGCCCCGCTTTCTCCACACTCTCCCCTTCATCCCCTTCCCCACTCATAGGTGTGTGATCTGCGGCTTCACCTGCCGTCAGAAGGCCTCCCTCAACTGGCACATGAAGAAGCATGACGCTGATTCCTTCTACCAGTTCTCCTGCGACATCTGCGGCAAGAAGTTTGAGAAGAAGGACAACGTCACCGCGCACAAGAGCAAGAGCCATCCCGAGGTTGCTGCCGGCCCGGCCCAGCCCACGCCGGAAATGCCAGAACCCGGCCACCAGGATGTGCCATCCCCGCTCCCCACCCTCGCTGAGGAGACACCGACGGCGGACCACCCGGATGTGCCGTGCCCACTTGCCACAGAGCAGCTGGAGATCCCTGCACTGAGCCTTTGCAAGATGGAGAAGGCGGAAGGGTCGGTGTCCTCCATCGCAGCCTGTGCCGAATAACGGGCCACACCGAGCAGGATCCAGATCTGACCAGCACTTGGGGGCTGAGTCACGGGGGATGTCGGCAGAGATGATCCCAGCAGGATCCTGCCTTCCAGCTGGAGTCTGCTGAGAGTGGGACATAAAGCACTTAGCAGAGGGTCTGGGATAATGACTGAACCGTGGCGGGAGACTGTAGTAGCAGATCTGAAATCCTGCCCAGGCACTGAGAGTATGGGGACAGGGAGGCAAACCCCTGCAGCCATGTGCAGCCTCCCCACACCCCACAGTCAGTAGAGCGCAGACTCTCTGTGGGCCAAGAGGACTGTGATACCAGGCAAAGGGCCTCACCTTATCTGGGGCAGGGGGACTCTGAAGAGAGATGCTGAGGTTCGCCCTCCCCAGGAACAGGCCTGGGTTTTGCTACTCTCAGCTTCAGGGTTTTGGACAAATCTTCAATAAAGAATTATTTTGTGTAATGCCTGGGGCGGGGAGAGCGTCTTCTCTCATGGCGGTGCTGGTTCTGCCAGCCTCGGTGGGGTAGGGGTGAGGGTAGGTGAGCCTGCCTTTATCCCCATGGCCACAGCTCCTGCTGCTGTTTTTCCACCATTTTCCTGTGAAATTACCCTACCCCCGCCCCCCCAGGTTGGTGCAGCTCCTGTGACTGGAGGATCAGCAGCCACCCCCCGTCCAGCTGCGGAAAAGCCTGCCAGTGTCATGGTCTTTGTATTAGAGCAGAACCTTGGCATCCTAACGGAGATTGTGAGCCCATTGTGCTGAGAGCTGCATGCATGCACTGTGAGAAAGTCTCTCCCCTGAAGAGCTCCCAGTGTAAATAGACCAAACAGACAGTAAGGATTCTGATCCCCTCTTTTTACATGGGAGACTGTATCACAGAGAGATTAAGGGCCAGATCTTCAAGGGTATTTAGACTCCTAAAGTCTGTGGATTTCAATGGGAGTTAGGTGCCGATCTGGGCCTAAGGGTAAGATTTTCAGTAACACCTCGGTCCCGCTGAACATCAATGTCTCCTAAGTCACTTAGACCTAGATCCTCAAAGGTATTTAGGCTCCTAACTTCCATTGAAATCATGCGAGTTAGGAGCCTAAATACCTCTGAAGTCTGAGTCTTAGGCATGTTTGAAAACTTTACCCCAGGGGACTTGCTCAAAGATTGCGCATTAGGAAAGGGATAGATAATAAGACAGAAAATATCATATTGCCTCTCTATAAATCCATGGTTCACCCACACCTTGAATACTGCATGCAGATGTGGTCGCCCCCTCTCAAAAAAGATATATTGGAATTGGAAAAGGTACAGAAAAGGGCAACAAAAATGATTGGGGTATGGAACCGCTTCTGTATGAGGAGAGATTAATAAGACTGGGACTTTTCAGCTTGGAAAAGAGACGACTAAGAGGGGACGTGATAGAGGTCTGTAAAATCATGATGGGTGTGGAGAAAGTAAATAAGAGTCTTATTTACTTCTCCTAACATAAGAACTAGGGGTCACCAAATGAAATTAATAGGCAGCAGGTTTAAACCAAACAAAAGGAAGTATTTCTTCACACAACCCACAGTCAACTTGTGGAACTCTTTGCCAGAGAATGTTGTAAAGGCCAAGACTATAACAGGGCTCAAAAAAGAACTAGATAAGGTAATGGAGGAGAAGTCCCGCCAATGGCTATTAGCCAGGTTGGGCAGGGATGGTGTCCCTAGCCTGTGTTTGCCAGAAGCTGGGAATGGGTGACAGGGGATGGATCACTTGGTGATTGCCCATTCAGGTATTCTTTCTGAAGCACCTGGCATTGGCCACTGTTGGAAGACAGGATACTGGGATAGATGGACCTTTGGTCTGACCCAGTCTGGCTGTTCTTATATACAGAGAGTCTGTGACCGAGCCAGGAATTGAAACCAGATCTTGCTGCTCGCCTTCTGTTAACCACAAGGCCCTTTTGTTTTCTTCCTGGATCCTCTTCACTTATGTCACGGGAGATGATTTCAAGTGATGAAGCCCAGCTCCTCCAAGGTGTTTAGGTGCCTAACTCCCAATGGGATTACTGCCTTGCATAGTAAGCAGGTTTTCGTTATGTGGAATCAGGGAAAGCTCTGACCCCTCTTCTCAACAAGATACCAGTCCCTGGAGATGTGAGCCAGAGGGAAGGGAAGATTTTCCCAGAAAACGAAGCCTGAAAGTTGAAGATCTGACCTCGGTGTCTGCGTTGTAAAATGTCACCTCCCCTCAGTCATAGCCAGATGCACCCCGATCTCCCCTGGGCTCTCATTCAAGGCCAGAGGGGTGTGCGGGGAGCTGAGAGCCCAGTACTGCCCTCGGTACAGCCCCACTGTCCAGATCCCTCCTCTGGCTTGACACTGAACTCCCCATTCCCCCTCACTGTCTCCCTGTCACCCCTATGGCCCAGCCATCCCAATCACCGACCTCCACCTCCCGGTAGCGACTCCCCTTGGAGCCCAGAACACAAGTATGAGTCAAATCTCTTGGGGATCTCAGGCAGGCTCTGCCTAGTGTTTCCTCAACGCATGGTCTTCTAGTCCTCGGAGAGGACGAGTTTGGGGTGGGCTGTCTGTGGACAGTCACTTCCCCCCGCGAGAGAGACATACATTAGCACCCAGGGCCTGTTCATTTCATGGAGAGGAAACCATTCTTCTTCGAGTGCTGTCCCTGTGAGTGCTCCACTCCAGGTGACGGTGCATCCCAGCGCCATTGATCAGAGATCTTCAGTAGCAGTGCCTGGCCGTGATGCATGCTCTCAGCTGCTGTCTCGCTGTCTCGTTAGAATCTGCCTGAGCGTGCGTGTCCCGTGCCCCTCTCAGTTCCTTCTCAACCATCCGTGGCTGAAGACGGGACTCGAGGCAGTGCTGATTCTCTTCCCTGGTCTCTGAAGGGAACAATTACAAAGAATATAGACATAGTTAGTAGTAACATCCCAGTTGTTTCCCTTTCCTTAAAATAGTTACTTAGTTTTAAAAACAAAAAACCCCACCTTTTTTCCTCAAGCTTGTCGCCCGTGGAGACGCTCTCCCCCGGCATTCCTAGTTCAATAATGCCAGGGGCTTCAGGATTCAAGAAAGGTGCTTCCTGTCAGGACTCTACGCCAAGGTCCAATGGACACTCATGTTGTGTGAAGTGCCTCGGCAAGACACACGTCCCTGCCAAGTGTGTCCATTGCACGAGCCTCAAAACCAGGGCTTGTCGCGACAGGGACCTGCGGCTAAAAATGCTTCTCATACAGAAATCCCTGCAGCCGCCTCTGGAGATGGGCAATGGCAAGCCCTCTCCCTCACCCTCCCTGGCCAGGTCCGAACCAATCGGGAGCATGGCTTCACCCTCAGGCGAAGTGGCAAGAAGCCCAACTGTCTCCAAGCAGAGACTTTCACAAGGGTAAAGGGTCTCCTGCGAGATCCTTACCCTCAGTACTGACAGCTCCGAAGGCAGGTGCCTCGGACCGTCACAGCACCTCAGCTACGGCTCCCGCGGAACGCAGAGGCAGGGACCCGACCTCCCATACCGGGAAGGTCTCCTCGGCACCGGTCCCTTTGGCACCAAAAATAGACCCGGTGCCGAAAAGAACGTCGGCACCGAGCCTGCTTGCCGCTCAGATAGCAGCAGCAGACCTCCCGCAGGGCACCTACAAGAGACCCGCGGCACCGGGAAAAGCCAAACAAAAGTCTGTGCACGCTTCTGAGCACAGATCTTGCGCAGCGGAGTCTGAGCCTACGGAACAGCAACAACAGTTCCTAAGTCAGGACGACCTGTCAGTGGCACCTGAGCCTAACTCTCCGCTCCTGGACACACAGTGCTCACTCTTTGACCAGCCACTCTCCCCATCTGACCTGGCTACCTTTACTGACAGTGAGCCTGATATGCAGCAGCGTTCTCCCCACCTGCCTCTCCTCCTCCACTGGAACCTTTTGCACCTCAGGTCACAGCTCACAACCACCAGCCTCAGTTTCCCTACTTTGTGTCTCCCCCTCCACCCCCGTGGGCGGTGCCTAACTTTTCTTATCCTATGGGTACTGCCACTCACCCTCATGCTTCTTCCACCAGACCACAAGCTCCTTCTGCGTCTCTATCTCCAGCTCCATCTACTTCTAGAGTGCCTGAACCCACCCTGCAGAGGTGCACTATGGACCATACCCTGATTCACCGACTCCTAACTCTCCATCAGCTCCAGACGGACCCCTCATGCCTCCGCCTCCACAGAATGTGGACGACTTCAAACAGTTCCAGGAACTTTTCAAGAGTTTCAATTTTTCAGCCAAGACATCCCTTTAGAGGAGGTCCAGGAGACACAACACAAACTCCTCAAAATCCTCCAACCCTCTGCGCCTTCAAAGATCACACTTCCCATAAATGAAGCACTCCTAGAACCAGCTGACACTCTCTGGCAGACCCCAGCCTCTATCTTACCAACTTGCAAAAAGGCTGAACGTAAATATTATGTTCCTGCTAAGGACGTAGACTTCTTATTCCCCCATCCACAACCAAATTCTCTTGTAGTGGATGCAGTGACTCACAGGACAAAACAGCCGCACTACCGGCCCACCCCGCAAGACAAGGACCTCAAACACCTTGACATCTTGGGCCACTCCTCCACTCTGCAATTCAGAATTGCAAACTATTCCGCCCTACTTGCAAGCTACGACTTTGATAACTACAATAAACTCTTTGATTTTACCTCCCATGTTCCAGAGGACAGGAGAGCAGACTTTAAGTCAGTCCTTGTCGAGGGCCAGTTGGTCTCCAGAACGGCCCTACAAGCATCTCTGGACATGGCGGATACAGCTGCCCGCACTACTGCAACTGCAGTAGTTATGCACAGATCTTCCTGGCTCTCCGCATCCGGTATCCCCAAAGACCTGCAGACCAAAGTGGAGGACCTCCCCTTTGATAAAGACAAACTCTTTTCCAAGAAAACCGACAAAGTCCTTCACACCATGAAAGACTCTAGAGCGACCCTGCGCACCCTGGGCATCTACCCATCCCTTCCCAGGAGACAACGGTATCAACCCTTACCAGAGGCCACGCACACAACAGTATCACCGGCCTCAGAACAGACCATACGATATACCCAGGAATCGCCCTAGACCTCCTAAGCACAGAAAAAACCAAGCGCAAACAGCTACCTCCCACCCATTGGGAAATAACAATTTTGAAGCGTTGGTTGAGGGTCTGAATGACCACCCCTTGACTCCACTGCCTACTTGCTCATTTGGCCACCTCCTCCAGGTTTTCCACCATGCCTGGCAGCAGATTACACAGGACCGCTGGATCCTGGAAATAGTTCAGTCCGGATACTCTATCCCTTTTATATCCTACCCTCCTACCCTTTCCCCTTCCTTGTCCCCCTTCAGGGACCCCTCTCACGAGCACCTCCTTTGGATAGAAGTGGCTCATCTTCTACAGCTAGGTGCAGTGGAACCTG